TTTCTAATCTCATTGGACTCTACTTATCGGCAAAATATCGGCTTAAAAGCTTTGAATCACTTCGAACAGTTCCCTCGTAAGTAGATGGCATTCGAGCTCAGCTTATAGTCCGAAGTATCTCGAATTTCAGTTTTGGGTTTTCGATATTACATAAATAACATAAAACTCTTGGTACTTACGAAATTGAATAAAAATTTACTACTATTATTGAAATTCGTTGTTGAATTGACGTCTAATCTTTCTATGGTTATTCAGAGAAAACATACTTGCTAATTTGGTTTGTTTACATTGGAAAATCGCTGAGAAACTACGTCATGTTTCACTAACCGTTTTGTTTCAATACAATAAGTATCAATATTTAGCGTGCTCTAAACATAGACTTTGTCTATTGTACTCAGTTATATTAATATCAAATATTCACTGTCATCTACGCATTACGAAGTTTGGTTTTGTTTTTTGTACAAATCTGAGAAAGAAAAAGAACTTTGATATTATCCACTGTCGTTTCTTTTCTGTACAACCATAACAAGTAGTACCACTAGTAGTTCTCTATCGAGTTCTGATAATTAACGAAAAAAAAAGATGTCAGCAAATGCCCATCGATGGATTGTAAGTAGTGTTAGAGATAATTAATCATTGCTAACATTAGTGTCAAGTCTCACTTTTAAGGTCGCCTCCCCTACCCCCTCCCCGCCTTAAAAAACGATCTCAATCCAGGAACGTTCAAATTGCATAAAAGTTTCAACCCGATATCATGATGTTTAAGGACAATATTGGCCAGGCAAGGTTCAGAAATAGCTCATTTCGCAAACTTAATTTCTCTGTCCAGGTTCATTTGGTATATTTAATATTTTATTGTTCGAAAGAACATCACAGGATGCAGAGCAGTACAGAGCCGTCTTTTTTTTTAAATGCTTATTTTTCAACGAGAGAAAAGCAATCGAAAGTTTAATGAGTAAAAATACTCTAAAAAATTGCACTCTATAGGACAACCAAAGCTTTGTCAAAATAAAGGGCTCCGTACTACACTGCGTCTTGACGTGGTCTTTCACACAAACAAAAAATTTAAATATATAGAATGAGTATCGAGAGAGAAATTTCGATTGCGCGATCAAGAAACTATGAACGGAGAAAAAACGAAAAATTTTTTTTTCTGAAAACAGTTTATTTTTCGAATAGGAAATGACAGAAATCTTTTAAAAAAATTGGAAAAAGCGCGGTGCCAAATAAAAAAATCCGGCGTTCATGAAAGACTAGATCACGATCTATCTCTCAATGTATCGATCTTAATTTCAATCATTCTGGCGAAAAGTAATTTTTGTTTTTTTGAGGGAAGAGAACTTTAATTGTATCGAATAAATCAAAGTAAAATCCATAGATTACTTATATTATCCGACTTTTACTTTAGGCGAGTGAGGTATCATTTAGAAAATTAGATGAAATTTGTGTCATATACAGATCTCAAATGAAATTTCAATGAGCATCAAATGATAGGTCGTTCTCGAGATCATCGCGACTAATAACTAACAAAGTGCTTCGCATCTTAATAAGGTTATTTAATGAAGTGTTTCTGTTACTCTAAAATTTCTCCTTAGAATCAAAGACCGTAACTTTCTATTACAAAAACTTCACATTGCATCTTCAAAGATGCCTTTCGATTCCGGCTATTTTTTTTTTTTGAAAAACCTTTCTGCTATTTAAGTAAGCATTTTACTAAGTGCCAGAAAGTCCAAATTTTTGCTAAGAAAAAATAGTGTACTACTTAGAATCTGAGCTTTAAGGTGTCCAAAAAACATTGAATTTCCGAACAGAACTTTTTGGAAAATCCACGGCCTTTTATTATAGACAGAAGGTTTACTGTGTATTACGAACAAAAAACATTTACAGATATATATGGTCAGACATAACAAAAATTGCTTATTATTATGTGTGCCTGCAATACAAAAATTGCTCTTTGACTATAATCTCTGCAAAAATTATATTAACCTTTATTGTAAAACTACAATATTATTGCGAGACTGAACAAGATCTTTAAAAAAAAATCCTATGATAAAACTTAATGTAATTGTTCTCAGAGACTGATTTTTTTTGTACGTTTTCGTACAATTTTAGAAAGTTGAACATTCAACTTCTGTCACAAAACCTTGAAAGATCTTAGTATCTTATTAGTTCTATAAATTATTTTTTTTTTGATACACTAGAACCGTATAGAATTAAACTGTTTGACTTCGACTCTAAAAGTTTTTTGTAGAAGTTACTCATGAAAATACATCTCTGATATTTTCTTGCATTGAAATTTATTTATAAAGTAATGTATCTTTGCTCAGTACTTAATATATAAAGAATAAACTTGTCATTATATAAGAGTAAAAATAAATACTCGACTGTTTTACTGGTGTCAACTCTGACATTTGATTTCTGCTCTGTGAGTAGGAGTTGAATTTCGTAATCCGTTGCAAGACTCTACAATACACCTTAAGTTATAATTACTGAAAAGTTAACTGATAGTTTTGTATACGAAAAATTCATCATTATAATAAAATCTAAATTGTTATCAACTTACAATTAACTCTTCAAGTGTTGCTCTAATTTTTGCATAACCAGCATGTTGTTTTCCACTATTATGTTCATCAAGACGACTTTGTATATCACCAACAATAAGAAATGATCCACAAACAGTACATACTTCCATAGCTTTATTCATATCTGCATTTGCTTGTTCTTCAGCTAATTGCTAAAAATTATTATTTTAATTTAAACAAAAAAAAGAAAGAAAAAATATTAATTATTTAAAAACAAACCATTTCAAGTTTTTTCTTTTCTTCTCTCATTTCTTCACATTCATTTAAAACTTGTTGTGCTTCATCAATTCGACAATCATTTCCAAGTTGTTCAGATTTTAAAACATGTGATGTTATTTTTTCTTCAAGAGATTTTATTCTATTGATAGTTTCATTCTAAAAAACAAAACAAAAAAAGAATTTATTTCCAATTTTCATGACTGAAAAAAAATTGTTCTTATTTATTTAGTTAAAATTCTTTAAATTAGATTAAGAAGATTTAATTACCTTAAGACTATGTGGATCATTAACAGCATTCGGATCACCTTGAGTTATGCGTAGACGTTCTTGTCCACGTTTAATACGTCGTTCAACATCAGATATTAATGATTTAAGAAAACGTTCTAAGAAGAAACAAAAAAAAAAAAAAATATAAATTATTTTTTTTTTTTTTACCATAATCATCTTCATAACCAAGTTTTCCATAACGTGAACTTTGTTGATAACTAAAATAAAAGAAATTATATTTTTTTAAATGAAATAATTTTTGACATACTCATGTTGAAGACTAATATCATGAATTTTATCACAGGGTCCTAGAAATAATAAAAAGTTAAATTTTCAAAAAAAAAACAAAAAATAAATTTCTATTAACCAAGATCTTGTCGAGTATTAACAAATAAATCATGTGGACAATAATCAACTAGCATATATTTACAAACCTAAAAAAAATCAAAGTCCAAAGAAATATAACATAACATATTTACAAATATTGTTCATACATTTGGGTCATCAAAACGATATTTATGAATTTTTTCACCTTTCGCTGCATTACGACCTTTGCCCATTAATTCGTCTAATAAAGATTGTTGTGCAGCTAGAGCCATGAAAAATAAATACTTGAACGACAATACTGAAAACTAAGAATATTATTTTCGCTTATTATTATTTTTTTTTTTTCTTTCCTGTTTCTTTACAACGACAACGAGAACCTTGGATAAATTATCGATCCACAGTTTTTGCTATTCTTTTCAGCAAATCATATATTTTATATTTACTTTACAGATGGCGTTTATTTACAAGAACATGAATGGTTTAGAAATGTACCGTATAAATACAATCAATTCGTACATTGACCTAAAAGTTCGAACATTTATATAAAATAAATGCTTTATCGTATAGTTTTAGCTTCATAAGAATAAAACTAAATTTTACCTCTAATAAATACATACCGGTGCTGTTTCAACCTACAACTGATTAAACAGAATTGCAATATACTTTATAATTAAATAGCACTTCTATAAATGCTTGAAGTCTTTTTTCTTTTTATATTAATAGAATTTAATTAACTAATTTTACGTTTTTAATGATGTCCTATGCGATTCAAATCGGACGAAAATCATCGATAGTACGAAACAAAATGTGCGACATAGAAAATTATAAAAGTTTAGACGTTCTTCTATTCTCAAAAATACATACATACTCTTTTATTAATTTGATTGCATATGTATTTCATAGACATTTCCTTTCGTATGTTCTTTATAAAAAAAAAAAAAAAAGAAATGAAACATTATCAAGTCAAGATGCAAACAGTTAAATCCGAAAATCATTTATAAGTATTTCTACTAATAAAAAAAAAAAAAACTAGCTGATAATTCTTTAGATTGCTTTCCATATAATATTAATAAAAACTATTCTAAATGAAAAATAAACAAGAAAAGAAAAGCTAGATTTTTTTTTTTTTTGTATGATAGAGGGCACTTCTCATCGGAAAATGATTTATAGATTGAATTGGAAAACATAAAAATTTTTATCATATAAAATTTGAATATTAAATTTTTGAGTAAAATTTAAATTAGAGAAATTTTGTCAAATAAAAGGTAAATTTCATGATTCATTGATCATCTGTAAGATCGAAATGAACACGTGGAGATGAACTAAAAAGAAAGTGTTCGATGACATTCAAATCAACGGTTAACTTTTTTTTTTTTGTTAAAATTTGGATTGAAAATTTTGTTTAAATTTCCCTAATGAAATCTTCATCTCATCTTTCATTAGAGACAAATCAATCTTCTATTCAAGGTTAGTACGAAAAAAAAAAAAAAAAAACCTATAACAATCGAGATTTATCTTAAAAGTCAAACTATATTGTAAGGTCATGAAAAAGAAAAAAGTGATCCGATAAAAATGATTAGGTTCAAATAATTGCAATTAATAGAAAGATATATAATCACAAACATGATCTTTTTTTTTATTGAGGACATTGAAACAGCTTATAACATATATCAAATAGCAAAACTAGTTGATAAATTTATTGATAATTAAACAAAAAAAAATTGTCTAAGTGAAGAAAGTCTATAAATAATAATATTTATGTAATTTTTATTGCTTATTTTTCTTTTTTGATATCAATAATGATTTCTAATTTCTATTTAAAAAACAAAAATAGATTTATATAAATATGTAAGAAGAACATTCAACTTGTTACACCACATTTTCAATTGATTTTCTCAAGACATAAGTTTGCATCAGAATTAAACAGACATGGATGCAAGCTAAATAGCTTGTCAACAACAATTGCTAGTGACTTGCGGTTTTCACCAATTGGAAAAAGTACATTCCGGATGTTCTTGTGTTTAATACTATAGAGAATAAAATTATTTTAAAACTCATCGCTTTCGCAAAACATTGTTAATAATACATGAAAGCGGTATTTCATAATTGGATAAGGGATTTGAAAATAATTTTGTCTTAAAAAGCATCCAACAGAAAAACACATCCGGAGTTTTCCTCTTGCGACTGGTGAAAACCGCAGCTCTATAGTTCTTTCCGTTCTTAAGTTATTGCAAAAATATTCATGAACAATATATTTTTTAAACACGCAGTAGAACTCATTAGTTTGCTCGTTGACCCAAGCATGTCCGGAAATTTTTCACTCGATAAACTCTAGCTGTACGAAAAATCTGTAGGGTGCGCTAGTCACCGAATACAAAAAAAAAAACATCTCGTATTTTCGGGGTTTACTATCCAATTTGAATTAGAAAATTTCATTGAGTACGATTCAACCCGATCTCAAAATATTGAACTCGACAGACTCTATATTCAACTATCGGATTAATCCTCATGAATATGTTGTAATGTTAGTAAAATGAGCAAAACTTCTCAACTAAAATTCATGCATTCGTGTTATTTCAGAGTTTATGCAATATGTGGATCGAGAGAGCGACAACCAGTGGCGTACGCAGAAATTTTTCAAGGGGGGGGCCCAACTTCGTAAGGGGGGGGCCCGCCATGGCACAANAATTTTCCTTTCGACATTTTTCATTTCGACATTTTAACTTTTCGACATTTTTCATTTCGACATTTTAACTTTTCGACTTTTTTCCTTTCGACATTTTTACTTTTCGACATTTTTACTTTCGACATTTTGCTTTCGACATTTTTCCTTTCGACATTTTTCTTTTCGACATTTCTCAGTACATTCGAAATATGGTTAACTGTAAGACGAAAAAAAAAATAATATGACTTTTTAAATTATCATTCTAATAACTAGATCTTTTAGTAATCTTCATGAACACTTCGAAAGTAAAGACAAATTTTTGAATGAATACTATGGCAAAAGAAAAACTGATTGTTCAACTCTAAACTTTGCATAGATACAGGCCTTAACACAAGGAAGAAACAGCAGACTCCACTCAACTCCATACAGACGGAGTCCGTCATTTTCCTATTGACAATATTATTCAGTAACCGAAAGTTGCATTCCCAAAATAGAACAAAATCGCACTACTTTGGGGATACAGCTCCCGGGTATTGGATAATATTGTTCTGTTTTGGACAATTTATGTCAAAAGAACTTTTCAAACAGATCAGTTTAAGGAAGAAATGGCAAACTTGAAGACTCCGGGACTCCAGGAGACTTCATAGGAGTGGAGTCTGCCGTTTTCCTGTTGGCTGAGTACGAAAAAGAGAACGATGTTGTATGTTGCTGTCTAAATCGAGACTAATATCTATTTCATCTGATGGTAGACATGATTAACATGATCAAAGCATAGCAGTATCAAATTTCTATGAAGAATTTTGCAACACTCAATGTGAATCCACTTGACTCTAAGGGACTGGAGTCTGCTGTTTCCCCCTTGCCTTAACAAGAATAGTTTACAATGTAAATGCTGTTACTAATCACAGAAGATTGCTTTATTCTATCTATTTATGAACACACCTCTTCACTATTCTTTTATTTAATCTTTCAGAAATACAATAAGGAAATAGTTCATTTAGTATAATGACACATTATTGATATACGGTATCTTAAGGAGTTTCAATTTCTGCTGTATATACTTCAACATTCTTTTCAGATCGTGTTTCACAAAAATATAGTATCTCCATAGTAATAAGCTAAGAACACGAACTCTTTTCAGGATATTTATAGCTCATTAGGTTCTACATAAATCACCTAATTTCGATTCAGAAGAGATTTATTAGTTTCAGGATTTCTCTAGTTAGATTATGGGCAGATAGAACTATATACACGAATATGAATAATTTGAAGAAAATCTTCTTGAAGTGATATTTATGCTATTCGACTCGTATCAAATTCTATGAGTTAGATTTACAACAAAAAAAACCTAAACAATCATTATCCTATGCTTGTAAAGATACGATAAACGGCGGTTAGTCTTTTCTACTGTAAACAGAACTCTACAAGGCAAGATATTTAACAAGATTTTTATTTTTTTTTAAATCCTTAGGTCAGTCATTCAGCATTAGCACGAATATCATTTCAGTAAGATTTCTTCAAATTATGAATTTTCATGGATACACTTTATCAAGTTTTAGCTATCCATATAAATCGATCTAAGCTGTTTATATAGTTTATTAATGCCTAATAATTCGAGATTAAAGTTAGTCCAAATAATTTTAATGATGAAAACCTAACACTGTCGAACAACTAATCGGACTAAGAGTTCAACATTTCTCTTCGTTGTATAGAAACAAACAAGTGACAACTAATTTCATAAAGAATAAAATTTAAAATACGACTTTAGTAATATCTGACGAATGAACAATGATTCCTACTTATAATCAAAATATGAATTACTTCTCTCGTTCAATTATTTATTTAAATATAAATTCCGTACTTTGATTAACCGTTCTGTATGTATCCTAGCAACATTCTTGTTATTTTTACATGACTATAAAATATTAAAAAAAAAAGAATGCTCGAACGTCATTGTTGACATAGAAAAAAATCTCCGAAATGGTAACATGATTATTTCTCTAACTAAATAGACTAATTTTATTGCCTTTTATTTTAGCTTATTCTATTTAAAATTAATGGAGATTTTCATATCTACATACATATTTGGATCAAAATGTCTTCGTCCACCACCACCACCACGTGTACGTGGTCGAGCTGATGAAACTCGAACTCGTGCATCACCAATATATCTAAATAAATAAAATTTCTAATTAAAAATAAATAAAATTGAAGAAATATTTTTACCGGCCGTCAAGTTCGCTGATGGCTTGTTGCCCATCTTCGCGCTGACGCAAAACCACAAAAGCAAAACATGATGCTTGTGCATGCCATACTTCAATTAAAGGCCATTTATTAAATGCTTTTTCAATTTCACGTTTTGTACAATTTATTGAAAGGTCTGCAACATGAATACGACAACCATTTTCTTCATAACCATCATTATTGTATGGTGAATATGATCGTTCATGACGATAGGATGATGTCATCGGTGAACGAGAGCGAGATCGAGAGTATGGCATAGTTAAATTCTATAACAATATAGAAAAAAAAAAAATGAAAGTTCATGTTATGAAATAAAGAATAAAACAATCAATCAAACATCCATATATTAAAATTCTCTTATTGGAGGTTTACTTAGTTATTAGAAAAAGTCTAAATTATTAGATTAATAATTTGTTGTTTCAAATTTCATATATTCTTCATAGTTAGTGTTTAAAGAATTAATTGAAAAAAAGTTTCCTAAGATTTCAATAGATGACGCCGTTATTAATCAGATAATTTTCTATAAACAAACAAGAATCACTCAAAATTCTATTGGTTACATCAGATGTATGCTAAGATCGAACGAACATGGATTTTTTTAAAAGCTATCTTAGAATATGATTTATGAGTATTTTATTACAAGTTTATTAAACTATTATTTATTAATGCAATGCAATTTACAGGATTTATTTGATTTGATATAAATTTTGTTTATTTATTTCTTATTCGATATATCCATCCATCGAAACTTTTCTTTTTTTTGAAAAGCGACTACTCGAAAAACAGAATGAGATAAAACGTTAAAGTCCTACATAAGATAAACTTTTTTCGAGACCCGAATCCCGTTCGTCCTCGCCTAAATTTTTTTTGTTTTGTCCCGCTGACAGAAAGATGTCGTTCTAGTATAATCTCGAATCCCATTCTATTTTAAAAATATCCTTCGGGATGTTTGATTGTAGGCTAGAGACTCAACATTTTTTTTATAAGATAGAGTTGGACACAGAAAAGGTTAAAAGAGAAAACGTTATCTTGTGATCACCTCTCTTTTGTATATTTTCATTTTCTTTTTATCATTTTTGTATCAAAAACTATGGCGTTGTTCTATTTTATTAATAATAGTCACTATATGATAACATAATGTTGACAAAATTCCTCAAGTTCATATTTTTTTTAAATATTCGTTGAAAACTTTAGTTGTAAAAGAAGGATTCTTATTGTCCTGTTGCTCGCTAGGACGAAGTAAGACAACAGGATATGTTAGAAAAAGTTTTCTGATTTCGAGCAGATGAAGAAAGAAAATCGACAACACATCACTGTATAGATGCTTTATACTTTTTAAAACTAGCTACATATTTAACAATAAGAATATCTGATTCTCAGTCATGACTAACAGAGGTAATTAAATGACCAACATATTCAGGGTTGTCCCCTGATCATGGAGAATTTTCGTGATAAGACTTGCCCGCCTCCTGTACTTTTGATGACTTCGGATTATCTCTAAATACATTGCATGTTTATGCAAAGACAAATACGATAAGTATTTGTACAGGGCTCATCGATGTTTCCTATTGAAACGCGCTTTTAGCTTTTCTCAATAATGTAAAATATTCTTGCAAATTCAACACAAATTTAGAGAGTACTGAGCAATAAGCATAGCAATTTAGAAAACGCTCGTTCGAATGGATAACATCTGTCATCAGAGACATAGTAGAAGGGTTCGATTTGTTTTCAAATAGTTTCGAAGAACAAAAGATGAATTTCGCTATGATTAAAACAGCTCCTGCAAACCTAAGGGAAGGACCAAGGCTCAAATTTTGGACAAAAATAAAGATTGTCGGAAAATTTTGTGACATACATAGATCGCTTTAATTTTCAATGGTGATTCTAAAAGTGTATCATTTATCTTGATAAGAAGTCTAACTATTCTGACTGAAACCAAATTGAAACTTTGTACAAATATTGGGCAGTGTCTAGTTAAACCTAAAAAGAAATTTCAGCTTCATATCCTGTTCTTAGAAATAGTTGAGTCTTTATTGCAAAATCTGATTTTTTCAATTTTAGACTATGTAGCATTTCAACAGCTCCCCAGTTATCAGTAAAAACTTCCGCTTCTCAATGTAGTGTTACAATTTTGTAGAGCTTTGAAAAACCTATCGAATGATATACGAAATAAAGTAGACGGCTGTCTTAAGAGCTTAACTGTAGGAGAACTTTACCTTTGCTGTCTTCATGTTTTATATACAAGTGAACAGCATCGTCTAAAGAACCAAGAAAAAGAACATTATTTTGTCATATTTCTATATACCATTCGATAGACGCACGAAAGAGCTTTCGTTTGATACAGAATTGAAGATGCAGTGAACACTTGCCATATAAACATTGTATAGCATGAATCTATAAATGATATATCAAGTTTCGAGAAAGCCTCCCGAGATCAACATGAGATCTAATTCGAGCGACCATTAACTCCTGACATCTGATTTGACTATATGAGACAAAACAAGAAAACGAATATTATGTAAAGTCCCGTTTCATGGTTGAATGTCAACCATCCTATCAAAGGTAAGATTTTGTATCAATTACTTGTTTTTCATTAAAATAATTCATATGTCATCATTGAAATTCAATCAATATGCTATACGCTATTAAAAGAACAAACGTACTCGCCAATAGCATTCGTTTGGGAGGTTTTTTTTCCAACTTATAAAATCTATTTACATAGAAGAAAAGGAAGAAAATTTTCTGGGTCATTTTATCACTCGTTACGTACATAGAAGAAAAAAAATTTCTAATATATTTTTTTTGGTTCTCTCTTATCAATAAAATGATAGCCGATAATTCCAAATTATCTCAAGGTCCTACACCATATAATACAAATGATCGTGATTTTGGTCATTTTTCTGATCATGTTACAGTTTGGATTGATAAATATATTGGTATGGAAAATTCTTATGCAGATTTTAAAGCAAAATTTGATAATAATATTCAAGTACTTCAATCAAATAATCTAAGTGAAATGGAAATTGATGATGATAGTATATTATGTGAAAATCCAGATATGCTTAAAAAATTATCTGATGAAGTTTATTGTTTAAAATATTTTTCAACAATTGAAAAAGGTTTAGAATATATTGTTAAAAATTTTGAAAAAAAAATTTTCTTCATTTCATCTGGTACTATTGGAAAAGTTATTGTACCACAAATAGTAAATTTATCACAAATTCAAGGAATTTATATTTTTTGTGGTGATATTTCACGTCATACAGAATGGGCAGGTGAGTATGCTGATAAAATATCAGCAATGCTTGAACATCAAGATAATTTATTAGAACGTCTTACACGAGATATTTCAATATATATAGAAAAAAAAGGTGATGAATATAAAGCTAATCAAGCAATATTACAAGCACGAAATTGTTATTCATGGTCAAAAAAATTATTAATAAGAGGAAAACAATTAGGCGATTCTGGTTCAACAAAATTAATTGATAATATTACAAAGAAAATTAATGAAACACAATCATCAGAGGAATGTCATAATGAAAATTGAAACATTATAGTATTTGTTTTTCTTTGAAAAAACAATTAAGTAGAATAATATTTTAATATATATGTTTTCTTTTTTTCGTTGCTTGTTTTTAAACATGTTTAACTAAATGCATATACTTTAGTCTATCATAAATGTTTCTATGACAAAAGAAAAAAATGTCAAATTTTTTTTTTCGCAAGAGAAACAGGAAAGATTAGATCGTTAAGTTCGTTGTTTTCTTCTTTTATAAAATTGCTGATCTAGGTTAAACAATCAGATCTTGTATAATTCATATTTGATCTTGTGCATTTTTTTAAGAATCAAACGAACTCATAGTGTCTGCAAAACTTTCATGAAATCTTAACATAAGATTTTTACATAGTCTTTTGAAAAAAATATTACAACTGTACAAGAATCGTACGTTTTTTTACCGATCTACAAAATGTTACGTTTGACTTTTTTTTTCATTTTGCCCTCATATTACTTGCATGAGCCATTATTATCATTTTGATTATTCTGTATAACTTTAGTTTATTAGAAGCATCTACCTGTGACTTTTCTTAACTTAATGTGAAGTCTCTGCTTAAGTTAACTAATACTTGTTTTACTTCCGACATTGCATTTGACACGTGTCGTACTTCTATTTGTTTCTCAATACTTTACGTTTGCACAACATTTTCATTGGACTATTTTTCATTCTATAATGAAAGCATCTTTGCTATTCTATAATAAGTATAGCATACGCTCCTTCGTTCTTTTTCTCATGTGTCCTTGGTATACACACACGTTTAAAAAAAAACGGAAGAAAGAGAAAAATACTTTTGTGTTCTTTATCAGTAGTTGGTTTTTTCCGTGTTTCTTACATGTAAAGAGACTAAAAAATCGCACAATCTATTAGTTTTTTTTAATTTCTATTAACACAACAAAAAGAAAAATAAATGGTCGAAATGTTACTCAAAACAAAAAGCAATAATAATGAAAAATATCTTTTGCTTTATTTAATTTTTGTAGATTAATTGAAAATGTCCGATACACCTCCACAAAAACCCAAGATCCCGCATTATAGTCATTTGCAATCTGAACCAGTGCCAATGTCATTTGCGTCACCACAACTCTTGGCTCAAATTACAGCTGGAACGGCTAATCCTTTTCCTAATTCATATATGAAAACAACAAATCAAGTACATATGCCAATGACAGGTTCAGCATATGATAAAATGCCTACAACTTATCAATCACAACCTGCACCACTAATGAATAATAATAAGAATAATACTGCTTCATCATCTTCTGATTCAAAATTAATAAAACCATTACCTCCACAACCCATTGATGCAAGCACATTTAAAGGCTTTAAATTTGTAACACTTGATGGTTTACAAGTGGAAACAAGAGAAATATATGATAAAATTAGTGGAACATTTCAATGGGAAATGTGTGAAAGTCAAGATGATCGATGTATCAATTTTATACGTAATGAATGTGCTAATAGACGAGTATTTTTTGTATCATCCGGTGGACTTGGACAAAAAGTTGTTCCAGAAATCCACGATTTACCACAAGTTTATGCTATATATATTTATTGTGCGAATGTAAAATTCCATGAAACATGGGCAAAAAAATATTCGAAAGTACGCGTTGTCTGTGATAATGATGATCTTTATTTATTGCCACAATTTGCTGTTGATGTTGCACAAGCAAATATCGATTGGGGCAATGCTCTACTTAGTAAACAAGATACACGTGATAAAGCAAAAGAAAAATTTAAATTAGCATCGGATAAATTAAATAATTATGCTCGTAATCATGATCCAGCTATGGATATTGAAGTTAATAATAAATTAGAAGAATGTAAATAACCGAAAACAATGATATAATCTTTAGAACTCAACTATAATAAAAAAAAAAAAAAAAAAAAAAACAAACAGTTCAATCTCTTTTGTCATTTGTAGAATTTTATTTTCATATAAGAATAAAAATCAAGAATAATTATATATAAACATAACTCTGAATAAATATAATTCAACAAGAAATCAAAGTCCTAAGTACATACTTCCCAAAAACACTCTTCTATGATCTGAACAGATTTTAAAAAGCTATATATTTGAAATTTTTTTTATCGTATGTATTATGGGAAAAATATAAAGTGACCGATATAATATAAAGACATTTTTGTTTTTACTATAATTCAGCCGTCTTTGTATGTACATATATGATTCTTTCAGAGTTAGAAAGATCTTGTTAAGCACTATGTTATCTGAAAAATTTGCCTAGGTCACAATTGTTTTGATTGAATTAAAGCGAAAATAGTTTTTTCTCAGTAGACATAATTTTAAGACACTTTTAGTATTTTGAATTTTCTGACCTAGCGATTTTACTGATAATAGTTAAAACATATACCATTCAATGCAAGATTTTGTGCTCTATATTTCGAGAAAAAAAAAACATTTAATTTTCACTTTTAATCCTTAGTTTTTAAATTTAATGTTTGCTAGTTTTAGTGAATAATGGTATTTCAAAATGAGGAGTGCAAATAATCTCGATATCACCTAGTACTTTGCAAAAGAGAGCCAAAAATTGAACAAAAACATGTTATTTTCATGAGTTTTCTCTTTTGATGACTTAGCGGTTCTCAAATTTAATTTTTTTTCCTAAGAAAAACAAACTTTAAAGTTTTTGGTTAATATAAGTGCTGTAGAGAATTACACTCTCTACAAGATGAGACCTTCCACACTTCTCTACTACACCTACCAAAATTGGTGTGTCCCAAATATTTTTAGTGCACACATAGCAGAAGGCGTCCTCTATCCTAATCATTGTATTTTGCTTATACCTTTTGCAATTAGAGTCAAGGCGTAGATAAAAATTTCCTCTTGAAAACGAGACATCGCCCCTCTTTCTACGTTAGACTGTTCGAAAGCTATAAGCAACATACGTATTAGTCTCTAGATGGCGCCTTTTGTTGGTGTTTAATATCATAACAACTTACATGTGCCCAATAAAAGTATTTGGGGCACATCAATCATTGTAGGTGCCGTAGAGAAGTGTGGAAAACCTCATCTTGTAGAGAGTTTAATTCTCTATAACAATTAAATTAAACCCAAAAATTCTAAATTTAGTTTTTCGTAGAAAAAAAATTTAAACTCGAGAACTGATGCATCAACTCATTGAAATTCAATTTCAAACACAGATTTTGTTTTCATACAAAAATGACATAGTTTTGTTCAACTTTTGATATTCTTTTCGAAACACTAGTTGCTGTTGAGATTATTTGCATACCTCATTTTGAAATACCATTTGTGACCGGGACTAACAAACATTAAATTTTAAAAATTAGAAATTAAATGTTTTTTTTTCTTGAAAATTAACTATTTTCAGTAAAATTGGTAAGTCAGAAAATTGAAAATACTAAGTGTGTTAAAATTATGTCCGCTGGAAAAAAATTGTTTTCGTTATAATTCAACCAAAAGATGTCTGACGGTAGCATTTTCTTCAGGTCAGATTGCACTTAACAAGATGTTTCTAACTCTTTCTTCTACTCGTAAGTTATAGAACTGATAGTGACAAAAGGTTATTATAGATCATAATTCCTCTTCAAGTCAAGTGAACGAGACTAGATTAATTGCATTGACCAACACTTCTAACGTAGTATTTACACTGAATATTTCACAAGTCTAGTCCTAAGAAAGGCTGAGATCGTAAGATGACATACTTTATGATCAATAAAATATTTCTGTATTGAGATCAATAGTGCTAGTCCTACAAAATACCTATTTGACGGTTTCATTATGAGTAAAAACTTTCACAAGTCCTCCATCTAGAGAACTGCAGGTTCGACAAAAATAAAAATTCGGATTCGAATCCACTCGGACCTAAATCTGGAAGGACCTGCAGCATCCTACCTCTATCTCTCAGAAAAAATAATCAATCTGATTGATTAAAGCAAGCCGGAAATATTGAATCCTTTTTTTATCTAATTATTTATGAACCACTGTATAATTACATAGTCATATGACCAATATGGATCAATATTCTATTGTAATTGTTAGAAGTACATTTGACTAGAATTATATCAACTTCCTACTGACTCTTTCGAATACTTTTGTCAAGTTAATATTCCTTATCTGATTCTAGAACGATTTGTCGCGGGACAATTGATCACATGACATGTTAACATTAAAGTATCCTGAAGGAGAATCGAATATGAATTGGTTTGGGTACACGGAAGACCTTCACTCTCATATCTACATACCCCTACCGAAATATCCGATCGCCTCTTTATTGAGTTTAGAGATAGAACTTTTGGATATTTTTGTATTACTATTAAAATATCAGTGACGATTCGAATCTAAGTTTCTCTATACAGTTTTTATTTTTTTTAGAAAATTTTCATTTCTATAATTATGGTTGCATTATTTATATTCATAAAAAAGACTCAATACATGACAACTGAACTTTAAAGGTCTTTCTGATTAAAAATTCTATTTTTGTGTCAACGTGACTTTTATGAATACTTTCAAACAACTCTCAGCATTGAAATATAAATAAATTTAAAATTAAGAACACGATCATCTCAAAATTCAGCTTTTAATTTAACACTTTGACAATGCGAGTTCTCATATTTTCTTTGTATACATATTACTTAGAACTATTTGATAAACAATAAATTACTGTTTTAAAGTATTTTCCAAGGAATATTTATAATGCTTATGGTAGCAACCAGAACAATAATAATGAATGGGATCAAATATAAGTACAAATTTTCTTTCATTTACTATTCATACAAAATATTTATTCACATATACTAAAAGTTAGAGAATTTCAAGATTTACAAATCTAGGAACTTCACATTTAAACAGAACTTTTTGTATTTGCACGACAATCCAAATATTTATACATCCTGTATACTCCAACTGTGACATATCTTTAATCATGCCTTTTAAAAGTATGAAGAATATCGAAAACAAAGAATTTTATATGAAAAGATAGAAAATTTTGTCTTCTATTTGGTTGATCTACTTTTGAATATCGAAGATTTTTATAAGAAAGTGAAGATTCCATGAAAGTATTTTCCATGGTAGCTTTTTCAACAGTGAAGTGTTTTTAAATTAAATTTTAATTGCTAAGTCTTTATTTTGGCACCAAAACAAAATACAGAATTTCATTCTCTATAAGACTACATAACTGTTGAAGCTTAGCACAACATTTTTTCATCAAAATTCAAGAAAAACCAAGCAGAATCTAAAATGGATATAGAATTTTCCTGTCTTCTAATTTATACATGAAGCTGCTTTTTTAAAATTTTGAACTATACACGAAAAGATATACGATTTCATTGAGAAGATTTTCATTTTCTCAAAAACTTATGTGACAACATTCCAAGTCAGAAACAAACTGCATCTCATAGACCTTAATGAACTATATCCGCCGTACAAAGAATTCGTGTCTATGATATATTTCTGAGGACATTGAACATTTTCAATAGATTTCGATTGTAAGATCCAATATACGCAACAAGATTGTATACTCTAATTTCGATCTAAAACTTTCCCTATATAAATTATGTCCACAAAATTAGCTTGTATAAAAAAATGTCGAAATCAATTTGATGTTACACATTGTTGAGAAATAGATCTCGACATTCTTTCAAAGATGTTTGCATTGCTTATTAAAATAAAAATAAAAACTATCTATCAACAAAAATTAGACAAGTTCATTCATTAAATTGTAATATTATTATCAAAGCTGTTATTTTCTTTTTATGATAATCATCTACTTCTTTTGAATATTTTCATTTTTATCATCGATGCTGTTGATGTATTAGCATTTTCTTTTTTCAATTGATGTAAGAAATTATGGACTCTAACTGTAGTAGAACTATACAGCAGTATTGCTTTGAAACTGAAGAGAATTTTTTTTTGTTAAAATACAATACACAATTTCATATAGTACGAAATTCTTCACATATTTAAAATGTATATATAAATCAGTATAGTAAATGTTTAAAGTATTACATTTACATTAGTCCAATGAAACTTAATAAGTATTAACATAGAATTACAACAGATAAAATAATATTTGTTTTCATAGTTTTTGTTTGTATCATTGAAACCTTATCTTCAAACTATAATCCATTGCACTTACTAAAATAGTATAGAAGAAATTTATTTTTCTTTCTTTTTCTGTTTGTCGTCATCTGTGTACTCGTATGAAATATTTATAATGAAACACGAGCTCATCATCATACACACAAGTGCACGTAAAACTGAGACAGAAATAGAGTCAGACACGTACACATACACATATATCACTGCTTTGTAGTTTTCGAAAGAAGAAGTAGAAGAAAAAAGAAAAAGATCGACAGACAAATACAAACAAAAGAACCAACATAGACAAAAAAAGAAAAATACACACACACACACATATCTATGTGCAAGCAGAAGAAAAAGAAGGAAAAAAAAGATTTAACATGTGTTTTTTTCTTTCTGTGTGAGATCATCGTTGTAGGAGAGTTGATGATAATTTTGTTTTTTTTTTTTTTAAAAAAAAAAAAAGAAGAAAGATGGGAGTACAATCAGTAACAATAATACGAAAATGACGTAAGGTCTAGTATTTTTTCTTTGTATATATATATATATATATGTATATATGAACAGGAAAAAAAATACATGCAAAATTGAAAGATAACGCAATACATTGACCTAGTGATAAATTGAAGTATTTTCATTTACGCAAATCGAGTACGCACACCTTTAAAAAAAAAAACAATATATAGATTAAAAAATATTTTATTAAAACACTTACTGTTCCATCGGATGCACTTGCGCCTACACGTGTACCTCGACTGTTCCAACAAACTTCAAAAATACCACCTGTACCTCGATAACTATGAACTATTTCAGCTCTCTGAATATATAATTAATATTTAATTATATTTTAAAGATTAAAAAAATAAATATAACTTACTGCTATATCCCATATATGAATAGCTTTATCAAATGAACCTGTTGCTAATAGACGACCATCAGGACTAAATGCTACTGAATAAACCGGTTCTGAATGTTTAACAAGTGTGCTTTGACAAATGCCACGTTCAACATCCCATAAACGTACAGTTGAATCAAATGATGCACTTGAAAAAAAAAGTCAAAAATTAAAACAAAAACAGAAACAAACATTCGATTTTCTTACCTAGCAAGAAGTAATGTGGCATTTGGATTCATTGTACCTGGTCCAGTTGGACTCCATTTAATTGTATAAATTTCTTTATTATGAGCTTGTAAATTATGAACAGGTGTATCTTTTGTCATTGCCCAAATCTAGAGAAAATAAATTATTGTTTTGTTTTTTTCTCTTTAAATATTACTTTTAATGTCATATCATCTGAACATGAAGCAAGTAAACGTCCTTGTGGATCCCATTTAATTGCATTGACTTCATTTTGATGTCCATGGAATGTTTTAACAGGTCGCATTTCACCCAAACGACAAACATGAATTTTTTGATCTGTTGAACATGATGCAAATGTTGTATCGGATTGCCAATCAACATCAAGTGCTGGTGCTGTATGAAAAGCAAATTGTTGTTCACAATGACCAGAATTAGCATCCCATATAATTGTTGTTCGATCAACACCGGCTGATAGAATATAATTGCCTTTTTTATTCCATTTTAATGCAAATATTGGACCTTTATGTTGACCAAGTGTACTAGCTAGATTACCATCGGATGACCATATTCGAGCATAACCATCATAACTGCCGGTAGCTAATTGTGTACCGGAGGGCTAAAAATAAAACGAAAAATCATTTATGAAATAAGACGAATGTGGAAAGTAGAGCCCATTAGATCTAAAATTTCCGGACTCATATTTGATTAACAGAAAATTCTCAGAGCCGGACTCAATGAATGGAAAGTTTTCAGAATCGAGTTTACACTCGGAGATGATCCTGAACTTGAGCGATGACCTAGACTCGGATCCAACTCGAAGTGCTCCACTAGCAAGTTATCACAGAATCGATTGCAACTTAGCAAATCTGATATATAGATATTTAAAATTTGTAAATAATATGGAAATTCTGTTTTGTTTGTCTTAATTAAAAAAAATTTTCTATTCTAAATTTTAACTTACATTCCAATCTAAACTTGTAACATCTTTATTACTTGGTACTTGTGTATCACCACGTCTAATACAATGTCTTAAAATCATTTCTGGTTCACGTGGACCTTGTAAATTCCAAATACGTGCTGTAGAATCTCCCGAACCGGATGCTAATAAATCATGTGTAGGATTCCATGCACATATAAATACTTCAGATTCATGACCACGTAAAACAGTTACACGATTCGGTGGAATATCAACAGTACCATTTGTCATTAAATTATGACTATTTGATGAACCACTTTGTACAGATAAAGAATTTGGTGTTGGATTTCTTGAATAATTTGGATGTGGAATACAATTACTTTGTTCAAAGTCCATTGGTTCCATTTTGGCTATCAAAAAGAGTAAAAATAATTTAATAAATCATATATATTTAATAATAATTTATTCTTACGAGCAATATGATTAGTATTACTGTTACAAGATATATGGGAATTATTATCATTTCCATTTGACATTTGAGAAAAATGACCACTTGATACTGATTGTTGAAGTGTATTTAAATGAGATGATGATGATGGATGATTATGTAAATAATGTGATTGTGCTGTTGCTGGTGAATGTGAACATCCTGTTAATGTTGAATTAAATGATTTTAAAGATGATGATCCTTGTTCTATTGTGGATGTATTTTGATAATTAATTCCACCATTTATTCCTGATAAATCTGTATTTGATCGATCAGGTATTGTTTGATTTGTTGATTGTGGTGATGTATTTATTGGTTGTTGAATTGGTGATCGATCTTTATCATTAATATTCGATGTAACAGTAGTTGATCGAATTGATGATTTTGTTTCATTTTTTACTGATGTTGCTGTTGATGATGATGACGATGATTGTTGTTGTTGTTGTTGTTGAAGTTCTTTACGGCGATTTTCAACAATTTCTGGTACAACTGCATCGATTAAACTTAAGTTGTCGAATGTTCGTTCTTGTCCATCCTACAGGGAAAAAAAAACGAAATGAAGATTGTTTTCATTTTTTTTTTTATTCAATTGGAGCGCCGGTTGATTAAACCAACTGCTCCGAATTCCAAAGATTATGCGTCCGAAATGTCTCGATAGCCATTCCGCACAGTGTCTTCAATAGAATAATCGCAAACAACTGTGTGTTATTTTAAGCCAAGAAAGAAAACAACAGACGCCCTTTTTTTAAAAGAAAATATTTCGAAAAATTTTGTTATTTAAGGATTTCATTAAGCAAAATAAAACCGGTGATTTATAAGATACTATAATATATAGAATAGAACGACATCTGTTTAACTTACATCACCAATAGATAATTCAGCTTCAGTATAATAAAGACCTTTTTGCATAAGTGAAAGAAGTGCACCTGGTGGTACTATATTGCCATTAATTGATGTATGAACAATGTGACTTTCAAGGCCAAATAAGTAAGCTGAATGAACAAATCCTAAAGAAAAAAATATATATATATAATATATATACTCGATGCTTGTTATTTTTTCTTTCCACTCAGATATATACTTAAGTTACAAAAAAACAAAACAGTAAAGAACATGAAGTACTTAATAATCGGAAATAAACATAATTATATACTCTTTCACAGTTTCTTTTTTTTTTCTCCTTTTTTTTTTTACATTTTGTCATCAGTTGTTGACGATTATTGCTTTCGTAAATGTCTGTCAACACAGATGGAATATAATTATGCATGTGCATCGATGGTTGTAAAACAAAGCATTAGACTTTCGCATTATCTAAAATATTATTGTCAAGGGCATTTTGTTGCCTACACTACACTATGACCTCAAATTTATTTTGCTTGCTCGAAAGCACATGCGTATCGAGGCCAATAAAACGGCGCTGAATGACAACGATAAAGGAGAAGAAAAATCCAATTTGTATGCGAGAACACGGCGTTAGAGAACGTAAATGACGACAATAAAAAGAAAAAAAAAGCGGCGTAAAAGAAAACTTCTATGAAGTAAACACAATATAACGTACATAACTCTAACTATAGATTAATGTCCTTTGAACATCAAGTAAAAAGAAAAAGTACATTTTAAAAAAATATTCTAGACAAATATAATTCAATAGAAACAAAAAATCATATGTATGTCTTTTAAACAAAAATATTTCTTTTTTATTATGTTACTAAATTCTTTTGTTTTTCTTCTGACATATTTACCTCGATAAATAAACATACTCATATTTCAAGATTCTTTACTTTTTTATTTCGTCTAATATTTATCTTAAGTACGATAGAGAAATAAAAAAAAAAAAAAAACATTGAAGGGTAAAGGTCATAACATAAACATTCACACAATATGATGAAAGTAATCATGAAAAGAAGAAAAATGATGTAAATATCATACCTGATTCGGATAAATATCGATAAATAAGATAATTAACTTCGTCAGATGTAAAACTCATTCTCGCATATTACACCTCGCTCTTTATGCGAGGATAATTAATAATTAAATTTAATAAATAAATACACTTTGTTGCCAATATCCTAACATAAAAAATAAACAATTCAAATTTAATATGAAGAAAAAAAAAATAATAATAATAATAATAATTAACAAGGTCAAATTATTCGTTCTATATACGATTCATTAACACATCCTTAATTCTTTCTCTCATTACTACTACGTTTTCTTTTTTCTTTTTTGGTTCATAGCCTTCTTTTTTTCTTCTCTGTATCACCAATGCGACTAAACGTGTCAAACATTAAATAGAAAAAGGAGAATACGCACGTTCATACCTATAGTGAAGACATGATGATGCGGCGAACGCATAAAGAAATAAGAGTAAAAAAAAAAACTGGCAGGTACGAATGTAAATAATTATGCTTCTGACTCATGTCTACATATTTAAATGTAAATGCTCGTCGATTCTTTCTTTTTCCCTAAGCAATCTTCCTTAAAAAATATTCATCGATTGTAGAACTTTATGATTGTTGAATAACTAGAATAACAAAAAAAAAAACGAAGGTGTCTTGTTTTTATGATTGAATATTAAATAGTTTTATAAAAATGAAAAAAAAAAACTTTAACAACATTTCGAACTTTACCATATGAAATTTTTTTTTCTTTCTAATCTAGATCGATTATAAACAAGAGATATTGAAATTTTATTTATAAAGAAAAGAAAATTTAATCATAAAAAAAGGAGTTATATTTAGAATTTTCTATTATGCACATGTTAGATCATGAATATTTCATGAATCATTAAATATTAGCTATTAAGTTTTGGTACTGAAATCATAATAATTATATCGAAGTTTTCATAGATAAAATAAGTAGAAATATAAAAAAAATGATTTTTACAAGGTTCTTCATTTTTCTTTTTATTATTATTTATGTATATATATAAAAAAATAATATTATTACCTTATTCTAATTCACTTGTAAATTATTCTGATTTGATGATAATTTATAATGTTAAAGATAAAATTAAAGAAAATTTTTTCATATTCTATTTAATAAATATTTTCTAGGAATAATCCATATTTATTGAATAAAAAATCGACATATAATAAGATTATTATTCATTCCATGTTTATTTCATATAATCGTACATGAAATTTCTATTATTCTTTTGTTTTTTTGTTTTTTTCATATCTACAAATCTGTTTCATTTTCATGTAAGTATATATTCATTGAATATTACGAAAATATATTCGATATATTTATCTTAACATATATTCTTATGCAATAATATCTTTAACAAAGTGGTACTGTTGAAAAGGTCAAGAAGTTCTAAAAATATATAAACACGTCACTATCATATCTATGTTTGCCAATCATATAAGAAATACGACAGAGAAAAAAAGCATAAAACAGAGCTATATATAAAGATATATATCTATATCTAACTCGTTCTTTGACAATGACAATAACAGTAGCATTGAGATAATACATCGATGTAATGATGAAATATCTCATCATCACAAAAAAAAAAAAGAAGAAACATGATGTAGAATTACAAAAAAATATGTCTATCGAAACAAAATGAGAACTCGAGAGGAAAGAAAAAGACCATCTAAATATAATCTTTTTCTTTAATCAACAGACAAATAATTCCTAAAAGCCTTTTTCCATCTTTTTCTCGACAAAGAGCAACAGGTTCTCAAACCTTTTTTTTTTTTTCTTGTGTTTTATTTCTTTCAAACACACATACAGCTTCTCATGTAGCAAACGCAAATAGGAGGGGTGTTCGCTCTTTCTTTTTTTTGTCATAAACATAGATCAACTTGATTATTCTTCTTTTTCTTTTTACTTCTCTCTCTCTCTCTCTCTCTATGACTACTGATAACCTATCAGCCTTCCCACAATATACTATCATGAGTCAATAAACGCATACATTCTAAATAGCAATTGCAAATCTTAAACTATCACGAAATCAATAATATCAATAATCAGTACAACAAGTACACTTTATAAAAGAATAATAATCATCAGCTTTGTTTTTTAGTATTATCAAAATTACATCTATTATATAAGATGAATAACCTACAAATGGTGCATAGCATGTAACCTTGAAAAAAAAATGAGACATGACATAGGAGTAAAAAAAAAAACGGGTGACAGACGACATATAATGACGACAACAAGATGATGCTCTTGATTATATTCCAACTTGTTGGACAATGAAGAAAACAAATATAATAACAGAAAAACTAACCGTGTTACACAAGCATAATGACATCATTCACGCTAGATGTATGTATGTATATATATATATATATACTTAAGGATGTAAAAAAGAATGAAATATGAAACGATTCATTCATAATCATGCAAAATGATACTAAATATTTTTCTTTCAATACTAAATTTTATACAATTGTTTTTTTAGTCGCCCTTAATAAAAACGACTTAACATCTATCGAATTTGTACTTTAGAATATATTTAAATGTGATATAAGATTAAAGGTTCGATGTCTTTACTAACGATAAAACACAATGATATAAAATCGAGTCTAATACTTGTTTTCCAAAAAAAACAACATGAGATTTAACTAAATACCTTCTATATTTTTCCAATTGAGTGTTGTCACGAAAAATACGTCATTATAACATATATTTGACAAATATTAATCATAAAAAACAAAAACAAATTAATTGTGATCAACGAGTTTGAATATTATTTGTTGGTGCTGTTGAATTTATTTTTATGTTCTGAAAAAAGACACAAATAGACGATATATGAAGTTCATGTTAGTACGCGTGTAAGAATAAAGAAGAGAAAACGAGAATGAGAGAAAAAATAAGTCCGCCCCGAAAAAAATGCACGTGTGTGGTTGATAGCAGTAATGATGGTGTGCGAATGTACTGCACATTCTTGGTCTGTTTTATGTCCTTCTTTTTTTTCTTTTTTCCCTTCTATGTTGCCCGCACATCGTCTTTACATATATACACTCCCTCCCACCAGTGGTGCGCTGTTATTCGCGTTTTTTTTTTTTTCTATTCGCATGCGTTCGAGCATTTGTTTTCTCCTTTTTTTTTCTTCTTCTTATTCTTTTCTCTCTTTCTTTTGCGTGTGCATAAGCACTCCATCTTGTCTTCTTTGCTATGCGACCTTATGATCGAACTCGACGTCGAGAAAGTCTGCTCGAATTGTTGTCGTTTTCAGAGTGAAGAAAAGACGGAAAAAGGAAGATGACATGCTTGCATAATTATATTTAGGTCATCGAGAACAATGTCAGAAAAGAGAAAAAATATAATAGTAATAGAACTGCGTAGAATGAAAAAATATGTTGATTCCGAGGACACATACCAATAATAACAACAGATGATCAAATAAGTTATGTAATATTAACAATCTTCAGCAAATATGTGTAAAAAAGAAAAAAAAAAAAAGGCATACATGGCAAACATACTTCATTCGTTGTATTTTTATCAAAATAAATATTTGTCTATAACCAAGAGAAAAAAAAGTGAAACAAAAGAGAAGAAAAGAAAAGATACGAGAAAACGGAAGAGACAGCTGATGGCTGGATGCCAAGCCATTACGACCGTAATAGTAGTCGTCATGAGTCATGCATCATTATTTCTCTATTATTTCTGTCTCGTATTTACATCCCTTCCGGCTATTATACCCATAGAGCAGTCACAATATCATTTTCTGACTCCCTCGATGTAGATAAGCATGCATATATATTTATATTTAGTAAAATGTTTGTTTAGTACATCATGCATGTACACATTGTCTAGGCCATTCATATGAAAAAGTAACAGCTGTTGTGATTCTTCAATTTTCAAAACGAACTTTTCCCCGCACTGCATTAACTTAATTAATAATCATTGTTATTTTCTTTTTACACAACATTTTCTTTAATCCTTGTCTTTATAAAATCCACGAAAAAAATAACAACGTCAAACCTGTTTAATGAGTAACTGATTGTGTAGATATGTACTTAAGAATACCTTGTTTTGTTGTTCTAATAGCTGTTTTTTTTCCAACCTTTATAGAAATACTACTTATACCACGTTGAATAGGTATATAAATATGTACATTTATTTATATATATATATATATTCGCATTCACTAGTAAACACATTGAAACTGTCATTAATAATATGCAATTTAAATACGACAATCTTTTTTGATTGACAGTAATAACGAAAAATATGTCATCAAGAATAAAAAAAAAGAACTATGATGCATCGAAATATATAAAAAAAAATAGCAATGCGTTTTGATTGTATGCATATAAAATCAATTTATGTTGCGCATTAGCTACCATGTGATTGTAACCACCTAGTGCAAAATCATCGTATTGCCTTTTTTCGTAATAAAAATAACTGATTTAAGGTATCTTATTCATGACCTTTGAAGCAAAAGATCGCTGCAAATATGTATGTAATATTCAAAAGTTGATGAGCAATTATTGAGACATCGTTTTCTTTTTTTTCATACAAGACCAGGCAAGAATTACTTTATGAATAAAAGTTACTCGTATGAAACAATTCATAAAGTAGAGTTATCAAAAAGAAAAGTCAAAGAAATTTTGTTACTTTTTTCAATATTAATATTTAATTAAAATCTAAAAAAAGAATTTCATTTCATAGATTAAATAACAAAGTTTCTATTAACAAAAAAATCTCATAAAAGAAAATCAATTTGATCGATAATTTCGTAGCCAAATACCATAAGCTTTAGCTAAATCAGATGTTGTAAAATTTTTTTTATAATAATCAACTAATGGTGATGTTTTATTTAATGTATTTATATCATAACCATTTTGTAAATCATTTAAATTACTCATAACTGTTGATAAACGAATATTTGTTTCAATAGATAAATCTTTAGCATAATCAATAAATTTTTCTTTTTTATTTAGAAAATATTTTTCTACAGCTAAGGATAATAAAATCATAAATTTCATTTTTGTTGGATAATAATCTTTTGGTGTAAAACGATATGAACGAAATAAAAATCGTTCACGTTCAATTGTTGGATTTTTTAATGTTAAACCAACACGTGGTGATTCAATAAGTTTATAATTTGTTATTGTTGATATTGAACGTAAATAAATAAATGAATTCTTATTAAATATATTTAAATTTTTATTTAATTTATTTTCAACAAGTTCATTTATTGTTTTACTATTACATAAATTTAATATAGCATCAACAACTAAACAACTTCCTTCATGGATTTGTCCTGTTTGTTTATTTTCTATTGATCGAATAAGAATACCACCATATGATAAATCATTTAAAGAATTAAATGTTAAATCTAAACCTCTAGAAGAAAAAAAAAATTGTTTGCTTTATTATTTTTTTTTTTGTTTTCTTTTGTTTTATTTTACTTATAAGTTCCAGCTTTATAACCAGCTGTTGGTGATGTACCTTGTCGATGAAAATACCAATTTGAATGATATTGTTGTTCAGGATGACGATGAGCAAATGTATCAGGATGACGAATTTGATGATAGAAATAAAATTCTATTTCAGATAAACGAAAAAAATGTTGTTCATTTATAACTAATTCATATGAATTTATTAATTTATCAGCAATTGTTTGAAATGCATTTTGATAATTAGTTTCAATAAAGTCTATATCATTTAAACGAAGAAAATCATTTGTTGTCAAGTCAATTTTTGAACGTTTTTCTGTTGTTAATTCAACTTTCTCGACTTCAGGTTCAATAACATTCGATTTACGTTTATTATGAGACATCTAAAAATGTATCTAATAATTGAAATATTCTTTTTTTTTTAAATTATTTCATTCTTAAAATAGAAGAAAAAATTTGTCTTGATAGATATTAAAACAATGATATTATTTTTATCGGCAAGAACATAATACTAAAAATAATTCTTTTTTTTTAGAAATTACGCATTTTCCTAGAAGTAGTAGTATGTATTTAATATTCATTTCATTAGAAGGTGTAAGATATTATTTCACACACTTGTGAAATAACCATTTCTTTTACCTTGAAAGAAAGACAACAACAACAACAACGACATTAATACCCACATTTCTTTCCCTATGATTCATTGTACAAGAGTCCAAAAAAAAAGAATATGCGACTTTGCGAGGTCTAAATAAATATAATCTATGAAAACTTTGAACATATTTAAGTAGATTAACATTAATACTCAAGAACAATCGATATATAAATATGTTAAACTTTATCTTCTCTAGAAAAATAATTGTGTATTAAGTTTGAATTAAATTAGTATACGCCTTGATATCTAATTTTAATCTATCAAAATCAGAACTTGTTATTAAAATGTAGCCAAAGAACATAATTTCAGTACATGTCAAATAATGAATTGTCGCTTCTATTCTTACCCTGATGATATATCAATCAAATGTCGAAACTTGTTACAAGAAGATTTAATATTCTAGTCGTATACTTTATCATTAAGAAAACAAATTCTTAAAAAACAAATTTTCTTCGTTCTTATCTTATAGTCGATATTTTGACGTAATAAATAGTCTATGATGTCAAGTGTCTTGTCATTATCAACATATTTATGATGTGACTTTATCGGAATATATTATTTATGGTTTTAATTAATAGATCAAGGTCTTTCTTTCGATTAATGCATGAAATTGTCTAATAAAAATAATATGATTTTAAATACTCAAGGTCAATCTGAAACGTTGGGAACGAATTAAAAAAGACTATGTGAAAAAGCCTTTATCATTTAAATATATTAAACCATGATGTCACTAGTAAACAAACATTTGATTTTCGTCTCTTCATTTGTTTCTTTTTTTCATTAAATGATTAATCTTCATGTAAAAATAGAAGAATTAGTCCATTTTCGCCGACAACAATTTTCGCCGAATTCTAACTTCTCCGAAAGAATTTTTCGCTCATTTAATAACCCTGAACCACACCCACACCTACATACGCACTCACACGTATACCTACACCCACACTTACACTTACACCCACATGTGCACTCATTCCAATGTCTTCGTCAGCGAAAAATTCTTTCGGTGAAGTTGGAATTCGACGAAAATCGTCGTCGGCGAAAATGGAAATTACCAAAATAGAAAACCAGTCAATGTTTTATGAATAATTTTCAATAGAGACAAGATTGAAATCTGCGATGAAAGAGAAAAATATTTTCTGTCAAAATTTGACTAGTCAGTTATTGATTGAGATTTTCAAAACAATATTTTAAAGCCATTTTCTATTGAATTTTAATTTCTTATATGACTATTTTCTTACGATAGATGCAAGATTGAGGTTTATAATTTGTTCATTCAGAAGTTATTGGTGTTGTGATAAGACTATTCACCAAACTACCATAGGTCAGAGTAGAGATAATCGATCACGTTGAGTCCAGCGGTAGTGCTTGTTTTCAGTTTCGAAGCTATTATATTAGCATTTTCAATATTGTCACTCAAAAATCATAACAAGAAAATGTTGGCATAACAATTTCAGACAACTTTGAAATTGAAAATAAACGTTAAAGTTCGATTCAGTATTGTTAACAATTTTATTCGGAATGTTCAAGGGCTTTTAGACTGAAATTATGGATCTCTTGAAAACTTTTATAACTTCTGAATGAAACAAGCCATAGATCTCGATCCTGCGTAGATCGAAAAAAGTTATACTACAAGCCAAAATTCAATGAGAAATAACTTCGGAATATTGTTTCGAAAATCTGAGTTAACAACCGACCAATCAAAGGACGGGGGCGCATAAGACCGTAATTTGGCCCATTGGACTTTTCATACTATATCCAGCACAATCATATATAGGATGAAAGAGCTTCAACTGGCGAGTACTTTCCAATACATTTGACGACTTCCTTCCTTATGATTTCGAATGATCTTATGACGAATACATAGTAATTACATGACAACCTTTCAGATTAGTTTTCTCTATATAAATTCAAGAAAGTCAGNGTCAAATGTATTGGAAAGTACTCGCCAGTTGAAGCTCTTTCATCCTATATATGATTGTGCTGGATATAGTATGAAAAGTCCAATGGGCCAAATTACGGTCTTATGCGCCCCCGTCCTTTAGATAAAAAAAAATATTTTGCACTTTTCAATAGTGAACATCTCATATCTCCTATCCTATTTCTATTGACAAATTATTCGAAAAACATTGATCTGTATTTTATACAATCGTAGATAATAATTTTTTTTTTTTTTTATTGATTAGAAAAATGATATTTAACATGATAATTTTCTGACTTAAAAAGCCTAATATGTGTACATCGCTGTATTAATTTTTGAATCGTATCAAACCTTGAAAGTCTAGACACAAATATTTTGACGATCAACAATGAATATAATTTTTTTTCTTTTCTTTTACTTTGAAATCTATATTAAAGGAAGAAAAAAAACAACAAACAGTTAGCATAATAAAGCACTATCCGTTCCATCCTTATTATTATTTAATCTAAGTTTCAGGCAAAAGACGAATATCTTTTGATCAACATATAAAAATAACACAAACAGAAGAAGAAGAAAAAAAAAACGAACGTGAGAAGAAACAGGATATCTTCGATATGAATGCGAAGAAAGTGTAAGCAAAAAAAAGGAGAATTAGATTAAATGATATAAGAACATAGACACTGTTTGTTACAAAAAAGAAAATCAAAAGATAAACAAACAGACTCTTTTATAAATAAATATTGATCTTTTTTGTTAGTAAAGATTTTCGTTGTTCCAACCGGTAAAAGTAGTGTAGACGCGTCTTAGCAAAAAAAAAACAAACAAATCTATGAGTCATTCTCGTAGATGAATATATAATAATGTACGTTTAATAAGAATATATATCTACATATGATATTTGAATTAAGTTTTTTTCTTATTACTACGAAAGAGTCGTTCAAATACGTTCATCTTTTTATTATTATCATGTTTATCGGTTGTAATAGTAAAATCATTTATAACAATATTTGTTGGTGTTTTAATGCCTGAATTTGTTGATGAGAGTTTCTTATTCATTTGATTTTCATTCATTTTCATTGTAGAATTATTATCATTTGTTAATGAACGAGTTGAATAAAATGTTTGATTTTGAGATTCAGTATTTGATGTTGGTGGAGCAGGTGCAGGACGTTTATTATCAAGTTTAGCTGGTGAAAAAACTGAAACAGGAATATTTCGACGTTGACCACTTGGAGAAACATAACGATTATCATCCGAACGTCGTGGTGTTCTAAAATATATTTATTTATTCAGGAAGATATTATATATCTTTATTTCTTTTTCTATAAGCATCTCATAAATATAATTCATTTAAGAATAATAGGATTAGAGATGTATAATTCAGTGATTTTTCGATTTACGTCAAGTCAAATATGACTTCAAATGTTTATGTTTGATATAGAACATCTGTATATACAACAGGATCTTATATTTAATATTTTTCTACAGTTGTAAACACTAGAAAGACTAGTTTTTCAGCATCTGGAACGAGTCAATATATACATTTCTTTAGACTACATAGAGTGACACAGTAAATAATTCTCAGCAAAATAGAGTGTCTCTCAGTTCTCAATGACCTTTTTCTATAACTGAAATACAATAATCTTACGGAAATCTCTAAAGTCGTTCTCTTTCAATTTCCTATAGACAAAACATTTTTGACCTTCAATTAAATTGCTGTATTTCACACAAGAGAATTACCTGAGGGAGGTTAGCTCGTGTTTGAAATGAGACTCCAGTCATTACCTAAGGAAAACAATTTTTTCATAAATATCACGCTAAAAGTAGGAAATCCAGTGTAACAACCACATGACCCCAAAAAAGCAGTGCATGGAAAAGAATTATTCTAGTCTTAACAAACTCTACGTAATAACTGAAGTATCATCTCAAATGGAAGCTATCACCTCGGGTAGTTCCTTCATCAATCAAAAAAGAAAACGCCGTAGAGAACTCGGCGATGTCTCGTTTTTTAGAGAATATTGACTCTATTATTCTATGTTGTTCAGACAAAATTATATTGAAGTGCTCCAGGTATTGAAAAACTACGGTTTTGTTTTTCTGGAATCTCTATTCTTGAGAATTTGATAATAATTTTTATTTTCTGATATTCTTGATGAAAACTATTTTCCAATGCAATATGATCTAAAAGGAATGTTGAAGTATGGGAATAGAAATTTAGACTCTACTCCAATAGATATGACAAACACATTAGCAACGACGTATCACAGATATAATTGCTAGTGCGAAATTAATATGATAATTATTCTTTACTTTTCTTTTACACTAACCACAATTATAGTGTGATTAATATTTTTCATTGTTTTCAGGAACAGCGCAACGTGAGAGGACGTTTTTCGTTCCTAGAAATCCATAACAACTTGCGAAAAAACAAAACATAGACAGAATAATTCAGAAATAAGAATTTTGAAACCCATAAAAACCAGCATTCGATTTTTTGTTTGTTTTAGATTAAAAGTAAACAATATTAATTTTCAATACCTGTTAAGATCTGTATTTGATGTATTCGAATCTCTTCTATCGAGATTAATCGGAATTGAAACCGGTGGTTTTGGTCGAGAATGAGTACTGTTAACAGATGATGCTGATGATGATGTTTGAACATGATTATGTGTTGTATAATGTTGAACAGGTATTGTTGTACGTGTTCGATTATCAACATTAAATGATATATTTGCATCATTTTCTATATCTTGTTGTTGATTATATGTATCAATTAAATTTCCATTTGATCCATGTGTTCGAATACCATTTGTTGTTTTTGTATATGATAAATTATTTCTAGTTGGTGGTTTTATTGGTGTTTCACGACGAATATTAATAGGAGTAAATCTTGATGATGGTATTGGTTTATCTTGTTCAGTATTAATTGAATTATTATTTTCATCATTATCCAATATTATATTTGTTTGACCTTGTGAAAATTTTAATCTTGTTCGACCATCAACAGATTTTGAACGTTGATATTTATTATCTAATGAAGAATTTTCTTCAGTATTATTGTCAGTTGTTGTTGTTGTTGTTGTTGTTGAATTTAATGAATCATCAAACTCAACTTCGCATGATTTTAATTGTGATGAATTTTTATTTAATAAATTTGAACAAGAATTTGAACTTGATTTTGATAATGATGCTTTTGTACCTGTATAAGCAAGACGATGAAAGACAGAATCATTTGAAAGATTACCATTATTAGGTGGAGTTTGACCTAGAAAGTAGAAAATTATTAAATATATGTAGAAATCTACAATTTATCTATGACGTGAAATAGCTTCTGATTTTCTTTATAGAGTAACATTGAACAACTATCAATAAGTTTTGTTTTTACAAGTCAATATAGCAGTTTTCGCGTAGTCCATAGATTTTTAAACTCAAGATTATTAATCGAACATAAAATGAGATATTACAATAAGAGAAATCTCATATATGCATTTCTATGAAAATTAATATTAGTCAAAAAATTGCTCTTTCAAAAAATACAAAAGTTTAAAAATATGTGATGCTAATAGCAAAAGCTCTGTTTATAAAAGTCTGATTGGCGAAATTTTGAAAACCCTAGAAAACTGATAATGGAATGTTTCTAAGTGTCAAATTGCTTGTGGGTGAAGACTTTGCATACAGATAGGCTTTTAGAGAGAATAAATTATTGTGAAAGTTTCAGGTTTTTTATTTATTGCATCTATTTGGAAATAAGAACACCAAAGATTGTTATCATATATCAACAGTATGAAAAGACATGCTTTTAGTATAATTGTATCTTAGAACAGAAGCAATGACAAGGTCTTTGACTTTTACAATTAACTATTCTTATAATAAAGCCTGTTTCTATGCAAAATCTCAAGTCGAAACTTAATTTTTTTTTTTAGAAAAACCACAATATTCTACTAAAAACCACAGTATCTTGGTAGTAAATAAGCATATTATTTCGAGCTCTTTCCAGGATATTCATAACTCATTAGAACCTACACAATATACATAGTCGCGACTATAATAGACATTGAATTCTGTCCAACTGTCATTTGAGACGACATGATGATAGTTGTCTATAATCTTATCTTTACAAGGAAATTCATCTTAATAAGTGAAAAGGACTTATAGATTATCATCTACATGTAGATTATCTATGAAATTGTTGTTAGTAGAAGAAATTTAGCTTATAATTATACAAGGACAAAAATATATCTATTAACAATGTATTGTCAAATATACCTAATGGTGATTGTGTATTAACCGGTGATATTTTATTGGTTAAATTTTTTTCATTTATTTTACGATCATTTTGTTGTGTAGTTGTTCGTACAGCTATAGATGGTGGTGGTAATCTTTGTTGATTATTTATTTGTGTTCGAATATTAGTTGGTCTTGTTGATCTTTGTTGTATTTTAAGACTATCCGTTGAATTTGTACTTGAAGTTGATTGCGTTCGATAACGTATATCATCTTGTTCTTGAGATAATTGATTTGATGAATCATATTGTTGATTATAATCTATATTTATTGGTCGAAAACTAGTTGTATTTGTTATTGTTGCTGGATATGCATAATGAATAAATGTATCTTGTGAGAGATTATTATTATTATTATTGTTATTATTGTTATTGTTATTAATGTTTTCTGATAAATAATCATCTATTGAATGACGTCGATATTGATCATTGATATCTTCATTTTGATAATTCATTCGACGTAAACGTGGTGGAATAACAGGAGGTTGTTCAGGCATATTCATATATTGACTTGTCATTAAATATGGATTTTGTGAATTAACAAATACGGATGATGCATAAGCATCACCAACACTTGATTGATCAAGATACATATTTGGATCATCATAACGTGTTAGTCGACGACGTCCAATTATTGATTGATAACCTCCTCCACTATTACTATTACTAATTGCACTTGTTGTCATTAATGCTGAACGATTTGAATTGAACCAAGGATCATGAATATTTGCTGAATGTGATAAATAATTATTTGTTGGTTGATATTGAGATGTTGACATAAGACTATTTTGTAGTTGAGTATTAAATCGTTCAACTGCTCGACGAACACTAAGATATCGATAAAAAGAAAAGAAATAAGAAATTTTTTTTTATTTGAATATTTTTTTTTTATTGAAACTTACATTGGATCATCTGAATAAGGTGTTTGATTAAGATTATTTGATGTATATGTTGAACCAGCATATGAAGGTGTAGATATTGGTTGTTGATTATAATAATTACTTGTTGTTGATGTAGAAGAACGAACAGGTGCAAATGCTGATGAAGATTGAGTTTCATATTGATTTTCAATTGTTGGTCGATATGCTATCGGACGTTGAATTTCATTTTGTTCTTGTTGAGAATATGAAGAAGAAGTTAATTGATTCGAATCATTTCTTGATGTTATTGGTATATCGGATGATGATGATGTTGTTGATGTTAATAAAGGATTTCGACGTGGACGTGTATATTCACAACTATAGGCTGAATATGTTTGTGTTGGTGTTGCATAACTAACAGATGATTCTGTTGTACGAGTAAAATTTGGTTCAAGAGATTTAATTAATGTATTTGGTAAATGAAAACCAGTTTCTTTTAATGCTATTTCATTTGATGAACGATTACGTTGTAATTGTGATGATGTATCAACATCATCAAGATTTGTTGTTTGACCAATTGTTAAATCTCTTGATGTAAGCATATCTTCTGAACGTGATCGTTGACGTATATTACTTGGTTGTTTTTGTTGTTGATTATTTAATGTAACATAAACTGATTGTGTTGGTACATTCATAATAGGTATATCATGTTCATTAGATGATATAAGATTATTTGTTGTAGATAAATTAGATATATCATTTGATGCTGGTGTACAATAACGTTGATGTACAGAAATATATTTTGTTCTATTATTTGATGTTGGATCATGAGATGAACTACTATAACGTGATAAACGATCATTAGTAGGTTGTAATGATCCAAGTGTATAATTTTCTGTATACCAATTTTCATTTGAATCATTTGTTGTTGATGGCATTGTTCGTTTTAAATTTGATTCAAGACGCATTAATGCACGTCGTGTAATAGGATCTTGAATTTCATCATAATTCATTGATTTTGTTTGAGTTAATTTACGATTTTTTTCATCATAACGTTCAAGTGCACGACGAACTATAGGATCTTGTACTTCATCAGATTTAAGTGCATATTCATTTTGAAGTTTTTCTTGTTGTTGTTGTTCTAATTCCTTTTTATCAAGAAATTCACGACTTTGACGACGTTCACGCATTACTTCAAGAGTATTTAAACGACGACGACCTTCAAGTTGAAAACCATATGGTTTAATAACTGGTTCTTCAGTTGATGAAGATGGTACAATGGCTGCATTTGATGAACTAATTATTATTGAGTTATCAGTTGTTGGTACAGCTACTAAGCTTAAGCCTTCTTTTTCATTTCCAAGATCAGTTTCACTTGTCATTGTTGTATCATTTGTGATTTGTTGTTGTTCTTTTTCTTGCTGATCTTTTTTAGAGTCAACAATGTTCGATGACTTGTTATCGACAGCTAGAATAATAAAATAGAGCATACAAAAAAAATCTGTCGCACACTATATAGATATGTTAATCGTACGTGACTAAAATAAACAACCTTGAAGGTATACCCTTTTACAACTTTACAAAACGATAATTTATGAGAAGGAAAAAGAAAGCTCATGTATTCGTTCTTGTTCTATTGATTATTTTCATTTTTTATTTATGTGATGCAGTGGTTAGAGGTTTTAACTTATTTTCTTTTTCTTTTTCTATTTGTAAGAGAGCACGGGGGGGGGGGGGGGGGGGGGGAAAAGAAAAATTTGTTGTTGGCAGTGGGGGGAGAAAAGGGCACCCCCCACAAAACAAAAAGGAAATTTTTTTC